TAACTCCTAGAATCATAGGAATCCTATAAATATCAACGAGAGAAGTCAATTCACCTTATCAGTCTTCGGGCGTCCAGGTCGTCCCTCTGAAAAGAAAGGTGTGCATTGGTTAACCCAAAAAGAAATGCAATTCGCACATGTCTATGTCTTGATCAATTGCGTTAAAGTTAAACCATATCTTGAGTAAGTATATCCCAACTGTTTAATTTTCTTTGCAGTGTTAATATAAAACTTATTATCTTAAAACTTATAGTGTGTTTCTTTTTAGGGAATTTAACATCGCCTATTTTCATAGCGTTGGTGTACAATCAACATCTGGTGTCATTCATGCTCAATTTCGAGCATGGTTCAAGGAGATATTGTCTAACATTGTTGCATTGACTCCAAAAATACTCCATTTGAGAAACTTGTTTGAAGGTCCTACTCAAAAGCGCAAATAAATGGCACACATACTTCGTGAACGAATATAAATTTCACACTGAGACATGAACTAAAGAGAAAAAACCATAAACAATGGTGTATTTGTAAAAGGAGTTACAGATGGAGGTGAAGATGACTTATATGGATTTGTTAAACATATCTACGAGTTGGTATACAATTACTTGGACTCGGAAAATAAAGTTGTCTTATTTTATTGTGAATGGTATGATCCAACTAGAGGCACAAAAATAGATAAGTCATATGGTACTGTTGAGATTCAAATGGATCAGAGGTACAAAGAGTATGACCTTTTCATAATGTGACATATTGTTAGACAAGTTTACTATGTTCCTTATCCTTCACTTGTACCATGTAAACGAGGATGGTGTGTTGTAATAAAAATAAAACCCCTGGGTCATATTGAAAGTGGAGATCTAGTGGAAGATGTTGCTTACCAAGTTAATGAAGTTCAGTAAATTAATGATGTGATTGCAGATGAACAAATTACGAGTTTGTCTGATATAATGATTGAGGGACATCAAGTTGATGCGTCTATATTGTTGGTTGATAATAATGTGGACGAAGAGCATGATGAAGAGTTTGGATCTGAGGACAATATCACATCAGATGATGAGAATGATATGGATGACGAGCATGGAGATTTAGAATAATGAACTATTTATTGAATGTGTTAATGAATATGTATTGATGAGAATAATGAATCATCTATTGAATGTGTTAATGAATATGTATTGAAGAGAATGTATTTTTTAAATTTAGTATTTTTGTTGATGAATATATATATATATATATATATATATATATATATATATATATATATATATATATATATATATATATATATATATATATATATATATATATATATATATATATATATATATATATATATATATATATATATATATATATATATATATATATATATATATTAACTGTGTAATCGATATAAATAAGTAAAATGCCACCTCGAATTGATAAGAGTAAAGATAGTGGTAAAAAAGTCCCAACGACCGAGGTTAGTAACATGTGAGGCACCTCAGTCGGCCACGTGCCCTCCCCCGCAGAGTCAGGTCTATCCTATGTTCATGACCAGTACTCAGTCTTTTGTGCCATTACTCTCCTCTGAGAATATGTCATTTCCCATTTGGGAGTTCTTATTTTATTAGCCCGTATGGGCTACCATCTTTTGTTAAGCCACCTGGTTTTATTTTCCCGCAGACCCAAATACCCTCATCCTTCCAGCATATTGGAGGACCCAGTTTTCCACATCCAACACAGATGCCATCATCCTTTCAGCAGACTGGAGGATCTAGCACCCCACATCCCATACATATGCCCTTATCCTTCCAGCAGACTGGAGGATCCAGCACCCCACATCTCACACAGATGCCCTTATCCTTCCAACAGTCTGGAGGATCCAGCACCTCACATCCTACACAGAGCAGAGGATCTCACACCCCACATCCCACACATGTACCTGCACGTGAGGATGATCATGCGCAACCAGATGATGATGATGATGATGATGATGATGATGATCATGTGGATGGGAATGATGACGTGTTAGACGAAAATGATCTTCGAGGGAATGATGATCTGAGTGAGATTCATGTCATTGACGAGAGATTTTGGATTTGACCCGAAGAAAACTCGTAAGTTTCTTATTTATAAATTTTTATTTAAGAATACATTTTCATTTTTAATATAAATTTATATTTAATATTGCTAATTTAAATTATTGTTGTTTAGTTTCTCACCGAGTCAGACTGCTGCCAAGGTTATAAATTATATAATTCAGCAGATGTATAAACAATTTTGGAAGACCTTTAAAGATGTCAAAAATAAAGAAGTCTGGTTTAACAAATTTAAGGTATAATTAATTTATTTTTTAGTTATTGTTATTTAAATTAATTTTTCATTATAATTATCTAACTATTTATTTTAATGTCATACAATATTGCAGGAAAAATATGTGTGAGACCCATTGAATGAGAAGATGATAAAAAAATTATTATGGCAGAATCTCAAGACGACTCTTTGACATAATGCAGCGTGTTAGAGAGCGTTGGGAACTTCAGGGTATCCGTCCCAATTGGATAGGGAAAGAGGTTTTTGAGGAACTTCTTAAATATTGGGAGTCACCCGAATTTCTGGTTAAATATGAAAATTTTAAGAAGATGAGGACATCTGAAAAAGGGGAATGCGTTAATGCAGTTGAAAGTATAAGTACCGCAAAGCATGTTCGACGTATGCTAAATATTACCACTTTTTTAAGTTATATTTTGATTCATAATATATTTTATTAATTAATATTAATTTTATTATTTAGACCAAGAATTTGGGGAGACCTCCATTAATAATTGAGTTGGTTAAAAAGACTCGGACAAAGAAAACCAGGGATTTTATTGACGAACGCACTCTAAAAGCTTTCGTAAGTTATTTAATTTACGTTGTTGTTTATATTTTTTATTTATTTAATGACAATTTTGTGTTGTGATTTTCACGTGGCAACTCAGAAACTGTGACGTGAAAATCATGTGACAATTAAGAAGTCGTGGCGTGAAAATCACGTGTCAACTTTTGTAATATAATATAATATATTATAATATAATTTAATTTATTAAATATTTAGCTTAGTTTTTTTATTGAATGTATCAGAGGATTACCAGACGTTGCTCGCAAATTTTCTGATTCATAATCCTCAATATACTCCGGGAGAGGGAGAGCCGCTTCATCCAAATGTGAATTTTTATATTTGAGATCAAGTTATTGGCGGAAAATGCTCTAACGGTTTTTTGTGGTGGAAATTTGGTGGGCACCTTGAGAAATAGGGATAGAACTCTATTTCAAAGAGTTAGAGATGGGGAAAGAGGGTCACATCAACCAAATTTGACACCAGAACAACTTGAAATGGTAAGACAATTGGCGTTAAATGAGGCGAGACGCGAGTCGGCGCAACGTAGGGCGACAATGAAAGCCCAAATAGAGGCCCAAATGGAGGCAACGAGGCAAGAGCAACAACGATAAATGGAGGTCATGGCGAAGAGGCAAGCTGATATAAAGCAACAAATAAGACAATTTATGCAAGGGTTTGATGGAAATCAAAACTTTCGTGGTCAAGAGCCGGAGGATGACGGAAACGAAGATAATTTTGACATTGACAATTAAACCAACCAAGATGACCTGTAAACTTTAATTTTTTTTATTTTACTTTCAAATTGAAATTTGTGTACCATACTAATTAATAAAACCTACTAATTAATTCTTAAATTTATAATTTTAGTTTATTAATTTTATTATATTAAATTTAATATATTGAATTTATTATATATTAAATTTATTATATATTGAATTTATTATATATCAAATTTATTAATTTAATTTATTATATATTGAATTTATTAATTAATATTATTAATTTAATTAATTATAAAAGAAAAACAAATTTTAATTATTAAATTTTTAAATAAAAAACGAAAATCATTAGTGACGTGATTTTCACGTAAAATAAATATAATTATTTAGTGGCAAATAAAGTAACTTTATCTTTGCATCACCTCTTTTTCTTGCAACGTTGTTAATCCTACAAAAATATGTTGCGACGTGATTTTCACCCTCTTCTCAACCACGTGATTTTTCAAGTTGTGACGTGAAATTCACGTCGCAAACGAGAGTATTTTTTTAAATATATTTTTAAAGCACAATCATTTACATTAGAATTTTTTTACAATAGAACGAGTTTTTTAAAGCATGCCTCTACTTCCATATTTAAATAGTTACTTCATTGCATGAGTTTGGTCTATGTTCAATATTTTTCTTTTCAATTTTGAATATATTCTTAGTATGTCTAAGCTGTCAACCTATCTGTAACTTTCTCCTCTATAGTAATGAGTCTGAATACCATTTTTTACTTGAAAAAAAGATAGACTTCTTCTGTCAATATGCATAAGGGATTACAAAGTTTGAACTGTTCGGATTCTATGCTAAGTTCAAACTAACCAGTTATGCTTTATTCACAATGGTGGTAGTTATAAACAACTTATAATGCCACCTAATACCGATGAAGGGAGTTCAATATTCCGCTTATCTGAGTCCTAAAGGTAAGTGTGGTCATGATTTATTCATAAGTGTGCTCATGATTTGGAGACTGGTTATCTGCTTATAATTTTTTTTTGCCTGTCATCTGATTCTATTGAGTTCTTCCAATTTGTCTTGTTTACCTGGTTCTTTAATCCAGAAAAACAGACTATGAAGAGATGAACTTATATTCTATATACTTTGAATTAATAAAGTGTTATGATCGCCCTGCAATGCTACAATTCAAGTGACATGATTAAATATTTTCTCTAATTTTATTTGTGGTTTAATTATGGCAAGGATGACACAAGAGTTGAATATGAGATTGAGACAACAAAAGACTAACTAAGTGAACAAAAATGCATTTATGTTGTCAATTAAAGATAAAATTTACTCAGGAGAAAGCAAATACAAACTGTGGCATTAACCTTATTCTAATATGAAAAAGAAAGAGGCGAAGAATAAAAATAAAAATAGAATCACTCATGGTCATGGTTTCTCTTCATCTTCATCTTCTTTAATTTGGCCACTTTTATTACAATTGCCACATATATCTCATCACCAACATCTTCCACCCATCTGAAGTAAGAATGTCTCCAATTCTTCTTGAACCACAAAGTGAAAATAACTCCCCATAACCCAGTCCCAAAGCCGAGTGCTATCACAAAGTAGAACCATACTTTTTCTATCCCATCTTCATCCTCATTACCTTTGCTTTCAGAAGCTCCATGTGAAAGATCACCCGGGCACGTGTTTGGAAGTGGCGATCCACAAAGGTATGGGTTGTAAGCATAAATAGACGGGTCATTAAAAGTTGAGAACTGATTATCTTTAGGAATTGGTCCTGAGAGATTATTGTGAGACAAGTTTAAATGACTCAATGAAGTTAAAGCAGACATGGTGTTGGGAATTTTTCCTGAAAGTTGGTTATGAGACATGTCCAAGGATTCTAGTGATTTCATGTCTCATATCAATTGAGGTATCTCTCCTGTCAATTGATTTTTTGACAAGCTCAAACCATGAAGACCTGTGAGAAAAGTGATTTCATCAGGAATGACTCCAACCAAATTATTTTCTGACAAGTCCATGTGAACTACAAGCTTCAAGATTTTAGTATAGTTAAGTTCCACTCCTTTCACCACTTCCATGGCGTCTTGACTAGACCATCCTTGAGAAGGAGCTCCTGCAAATAGTATTGGAGACGTTGCTGGAGCCGATGGTGTTAATTTCATCCCTTCAAGGTTTTCTATGCATCGAGGTATCGAGCCATGTAATTTGTTTCTAGAAAGGTCCAAAATTTTGAGGGACTTGAGTTGACATAACTGCGTAGGAATGCTGCCATTCAACATGTTTTGCCGCAATCGAATAATTTGCACTAGAGGAAATGCGTCTATTGTCCATGATGATGGTATACTTCCAGAAAACTGATTCTCACCAAGATCCAAAATCAACAATTGTTTCAAATTTCTAAAAGATGTTGGAAGCTCTCCTTGAAGATTATTATTGTTCAAATGCAACCAAAGCAGTGCGGAAAGATTCCCAAATGAGTTTGGGAATGCTCCGGTTAGTTTGTTAGATGATAAGTTTATCTCAGACAATATTTCTAGACTATCCTCCCAACAATTTGGAATTTCACCCGACAAATTATTCTTTGAAAGGTCAAGGCTGTTAAGTGGAATTTGGCACAAAGAGATAGGGATTGAACCATTTAAGTGGTTATTTCCTAAAAACAAGCCCTCTGAAAAAGACAATGATATAAGACTAATATTTTTTGGAAGTGAACCACTTATTTGATTATGGGAGAGATTCAAATAATGCAAATTTAAATGACATCCTTTTTCCATAGACATTGTTCCATCCAGCATATTTGAAGAAACATCTAAATGAAATAAGTTAACAAGTTGACAAAGACTTTTAAGAACAAACCTATTAAAATTATTGTTTGAAAGGTCAAGATAATCTAAATTTGTAAGTTTTCCTAGGCTTTCTGGAATAGAACCATCTAATTTATTAGAAGAGATGTCTAAGACATGTAAAGTGACAAGTTGGCAAAGACTTTCCCGAATGACCCCATTAAAATAATTGTTTGAAAGATCAAGATAAACTAGATTTGCAAGTTTTCCAAGGTTTTGAGGAATTGAACAATGAAACTTATTAGAAGAAAGATCTAAGTCCGTTAAATTGACAAGTTGACCTATACTTTCAGGAATGAGCCCATTAAAAGAATTGTTTGAAAGATCAAGATAACGTAGATTTGTAAGTTTCCATAGATTTTGAGGAATTGAACCATAAAACTTATTAGAAGAAAGATGTAAGTTGGTTAAATTGACAAGTTGACCTATACTTTCAGGAATGAGCCCTTCAAATATATTATTGGAGAGATGTAGCCCATGCAATTTTGACAACTTTCCTATTGACAAAGGGATAGGTCCATGGAGATAATTTGAAGTAAAATCAAGATATTTTAGATTTTCAAGTTTCTCCAACCAAGTTGGCAGGTGGCCACTGATATGATTATACCCTAAATCCAAGTACTCCAAATCATATCTAATACATTTAGATATTTCAAAGTGTTCCATTGATTCTATATAAAGCTTGTTTGTTGATAAAATAAAAATTTTAGGCGGCACATGGAATTTATGATTGATGATAGAAAGTAATCTTTTAGTGCGAGTTGATTCCAACTAAGATTAAGGTACACAAGTCTCTTCAAATCAACAAACCTTGATGGAATTGAAGTTAAACTATTGCGAGAAAGGTCAAGGAATTCAATGAAAGTCATGTTTGGAAAAGCCTCTGGAATTGGACCATAGAGCTCATTGAATGAAAGATCAAGATGCACAAGACTTTTTAGGTTACCGACTGACAATTACGAAATTGAATCAAGTTGGTTCCAGGAGAGATCAAGATGCACAAGTGATGTCAAGTTTGTGAAAGCACAAGAATGTACTTGACCAATAAGCCCATTTCTACTAAGATCAAGGTACACAAGTCTCTTAAAATCGACAAACCATGATGGAATGGAAGTTAAACTATTGCGAGAAAGATCAAGATGAGTAAGTTTTTCAAAGTTGCAAAACCATGATGGAACTAATGTGAAATTGTTTCCAGAAAGATAGAGTGATTCAATGGAAGTCATGTTTTGGAAAGCATGAGGAGGAATGAGTGAATTGTCAAGTTCACAATCATCTAAGGAAAGATGCAACAAGGATGGGAGTAAATTGAGTACCTGGAATAAGTTGTGTGTGTCCTTGATGTGAACAGAAGTCAAGTCAAGGTGATTGAGTGAATGAAGTTTAGATATCCAAGTGGTGTCCCCGTTCAATTATAATAAGGAGCTAAAATCGTAATTGGAGCTCAGGTCAAGAAATTGTAGGCTTTTAAGATTTCCGAGACTGATGGGAATGTTTCCGCTAAAACCAGCGTCTGAGAGAGAGAGATGCTCAAGGCGTCCCATGGAACCAATGAACATAGGAATTGAACTTCCACTGAAATCATTTCCAGTCAAGTCCAAATAAGTCAAGTGTTCCAATTGTAGCAAAGACGAGCTGACATTTGGAGATTGTACCGACATACAGGCCATTTCACCATACAAATTGTATTGAACGTAGAGATAAGGTTCTCGTCGCTGCCGATATGGCGAGTAACAAGAATTTCTGAGATCAAGTTTGACAACATGTCCAGTGCCATTGTCACAGCCAATGCCTTCCCATTGGCAACAGTAAGTACCTTTCCATGAGGTAAGCCTGTTTGATGAGTCTTGTGAAATGGATGCTTTGAAATCAACAAGGGCTTGTCTCTCTTTTTCTATGCAAGGGACATTTGAATTTGCACACAAGCATGATTGTGAAATTATAATCAACACCAAAAGTAGTACTACACATTTGTAATATCTTGCCATGTTTTTTCTCTGTTTTTATTGGAATTGGTTGATGGTTTTCATTTTACTCACACAACTTATATATATATATATAATACAATACAACTACCATTTTCAATTGTAGCAATTAAATACAACTTCCTCGAAGCATCAAACTCAACCAAACATCACAGCAAGCTTTTTATAAAAGAATACTTTGTATTTAAAAATAATGTATGTTTAGTGACACATTTTTTTCCAGAAGATATTTATATTTAGATATAGATATAGAGTAGTAGTGAATTACTGACCATACAATTTTTCCTTTTTTAGTTAAATCAATATAATATATTTTTTTAGGTTCAAATATGTCAATCGACTTTCTAAATTAGCGAGAAGGACAATTGGTGTATTATAATTTTTTTCAAATGATACATAGGAAAATTTTACCCTATACCTACAATTATCCTTCTACTCCTACAATTTTGAAAAGATGTTAAGATATATTCTTTTTCTATTTTCATTCTTATATTTTATTTTTTATTATTTTTACTGTTCATTTTGACACATGTGAAATTGACAAGTGTGCATCTATTACTGTAAATTGGATAATGTGCGATGCATAATTATGATATGTTTATTTTCTAAATCAGAACTCTTTGATATATAACTTCCGATTTACATTTCATATCAATCGGATAACTATTGTGACCGAAATCCGGTTCGTTTGTTAATAATCAGATAACCTGGCTGTGCGTTTTTCGGTTTGTAATAATCATCAACCGAAAATCATTAATCAATGTATTCCGGTTTTGACATTTATACCAACCGGATTTCTATTACACTAGTATTTCAGTGCTTTTTTTCTTCATTTTTTAAAATTTTTATTGTTAAACATGTGATATTCCTTTGATATGCGCTAAAAATCATACATGTGTAGATACCACTGAAATATGTTCATCAACACAACGATTTACTACAAAAGAAGAGGCGATAAGGTGGATTAGGGAGGTTGAAATCAGGAATAAAATGACAGTTATAATAACTCGTTCAGATACCAAAACAAACAAAAAAGGAAGAAGTGATAAAGTAATATTTGGTTGTGATAGAGGTGGAAAATACAAAGAAGGAGATAGTGAAACACAAAATGTTAGTAAGAGATGTGGTTGTCCTTTCAAAATTAGATCAACACCGTCAAAAGATGGTTCTAGATGGAAGATTGATGTAAAATATGGACTTCACAACACGGGTTACCTGATACATTTGAAGGTCATGCGTTGTGGGTCGACTAAATGCAGATGATAACGAGCATATTGATTTGACAAAACGCCATGTTCCACCAAGACACATATTGTTGTCATTGCAAGCGGGATCCAGAGAATGTCACTCGGATCATGCAAATATATAAATATAAGAGTAAGATATATAAAGACATAAGGGATCCTAGAACAGAAATGCAACATTTGTTTAAGCTGATAGAGGATTCAGATTGTGTTTACTGGAGCAGGAAAAAAGATGAGTCGGAAGTTGTGCGAGATATTTTCTGGGCTCATCCAGAATCAATGAAGTTGTTGAATATGTTTTCTATTGTGTTGATTATGGATAGCACATACAAGACAAACAAGTATAGGCAACCTTTGTTTGAAATAATTGGTTTGACATCAACTGAGTTAACATTTGTTGTTGCATTTTGCCTATATGGAATCAGAGCAGACATAAATTTGTTGTTGGGTATTGGATAAGTTGAAAAAGTTATTTACTAAGCAGGGGTTTTAGCCACAAGTGATGTTGACTGATAGAGATATTGCTTTGATGAAAGCAATTGAAACGGTATTTCTAAAGACAATTAATTTGCTGTGTCGATTTCACATCAACAAAAATATGAAAGCGAAGTGTAAGGAATATGTTATGGCTAACATGCGAGAGCCAATAGAGAAAATGTGGTATGAACTTATAAGGGCTAGTGATGAGGTAGAGTATCATCAACAATTGCAACGGCTTGAGCATGCATGTGTTGACTTTAAAGCATTTATTGATTATGTGAAAGATATATGGTTGACTCTACATATGCATAGATTTGTCGAAGCATGGATTAATCAAGTGTTGCATTTGGAAAACACCACGACTAATAGGTATATTTATCTTAATATTACTTGATTTTATTCATAGTTTGTTTATATTAATATTACATGTACTTGTTTTTTATTTTATTTTAAGGGTTGAGTCCGCACATTGGAAACTGAAGCAGATGTTGGAGAACAGTTTAGGTGATATGTGCAAATGTTAGGAGGCAATGAATGGAAATTTCAAGATACAATTGAGTAGTATTGGAGCTTCATTTTAGAAGAGTTTTTATGAAGTTGAGCACGCACACACTAGTCTATTTTATGAGAATTTGCATGGGTCGGTATCCAAAGTTGCTATGAGGCATATTGCTGAAGAGTGGCCGAGGGTTGACATTATGGGTACAAACACCCAAATATGCAGGTGTACTCATAAAAAAGTATATGGGTTACCTTATGCTTGTGAGTTAGGGAGATACACACTGAGCGGTGATCCGATACTAATTGGGGTTATTCACATCCATTGGAGAAAGCTAAGTATGAAAGGCAAACAAGAGGAAGATGCAAATGATGGATCTGAGGTGGACATGACCAATGTAATTGAAGAAATTTAGAAAAAGTTCAAGTCACTGGATGTTGTAGGAAAAAGAACATTAAAAAGTAGGGTGTGTGAAACCAAAGGAGGGGTGAAGAAGAATGAGAAGAAACATGTGGGATGTGATGTTTATCACGACCCTTCATATCATGAGTATGTTGATCGAGCATACTCGAGTTCCCAAAAATCTTCAAAGAGGGCATGTTCACAATTATCACAAACCTCAAAGAATAAACCATCTATTAATTTCATTGCAAAACCAACAAACAAAATAAAGGCAGGATGCTGTAAATATAGCAGCAAGAATTGGCTGCAAAACCAGCAAACAAAGCAAGCATAAGCAGCAAGAACATGCTGCAAAACCATCAAACAAAGCAAGCATAAGCAACAAGAACAGGCTGCAAAACTAGCAAACAAAGCAAGCATAAGCAGCAAGAATAGGCTGCAAAACTAGAAAACAAAGCAAGCATAAGCAGCAAGAACAGGCTGCCAAACAGCAAGCTGCTATACAAGCAACACAATATACAAACAAAATAGCAGCAGGTCAAACAACAACAAAATATGAACAGAATAGCAGCCTAAGCCTGCAGCATAAAGCAAACAGCACAGTAGAACAACAGAACAATAGCAAGCTTGCTCAACAAACAAGCTATCATCACTTTCCTAGAAAATTTCAAACCCTTCAGAAATTTTGGAATAAAAAGCAAGTTTGCTTTACATCATTGAGAGATGAGAGAGGGAAGGATATCACCTAAACATACAACAATCCAAACAGCCTGCAAAACTATACCAAGTTAGCTTTTCACTTTACTGCTATACCTCAGTCCAAAACCTGCACAAATTTGCACCAAAATAGACATGCCTTAAACTGCATTCAAAAGGCAGCAAGTCAGCATTCCAAAACAGTCCAAAATTCTGCACCCAAAGGCCACAAGGTCAGTTAACCAAAAGTGTTCAAAATCATCTGATTTCCCCCAAAAACGCAATGGGACTGTATATAAAAAGGAGATAGCCAGCATAAGTAGAGGAGGGTGAAGACAATACAAAATCAGAAAATCAACCATTCACCTTAAAACCTTTGTTTCAATATACACTCACCATCACTTTCTTGAAACTGCATCAAACCCCTTAACCCCTTTACCAACCGAAACCACAATAGTTCCAACAAACATCACCCACCAATATTAGCATACATACTCCACTTCTCACCAAACCCCTATCATTCAAAATTCACTCAATTTGTCTCTTACACACCAAAAGTTAGATTCAAAAGAGGAAGGATTAAAGAACATCTCATCGCCTTTGGTTTGCTATTTTTTCACCTGTGTCTGCTTTGAGGTAAGTCACTTTGCATATGCCATTTACTGGTTCATCTTATTTCTTGTGTGTTTATCTATTTGAGACCTTTGTGCTATGATGTTTGCTTGTTAACATACTTTTGTCTAGACTGTGCCATCATTAAAACGGTTTGATCCTGCAAAAAATAATTGATAACTACAGATGCTTAGATAAAATTATTAAAACCCCAAAAAATTGGCGAATATGTTTCTTTTCCTAAGAAGATCAAGTTTCTGTCATAAAGTTAGGATATATGCTGAACAGATTGAGCCATAAGCTCGACACTTACCCAAGAACCCCTCACTTATGTCTGTAACCTTCATCTTCAAAGGGGACCGAAATCTCTAGAACAAAGAACCCTGTGCAGCAACTTTACGGGTTTCAAACCCTTCACCAAAAGTACGATTGAAGCTCCAAATTTAGTTCCGCTCAACCTCTAAGCAATACTGCGGTCAAACCACAAACCAACAAATAACATTAAAATTATAACACGCTTAGAGCCATCAACAATGACAAATAAAATCATAGACAAAATAGAAATAGACCACAAAGAGAAGAACGGACATAATAACATTGGGCGGCTAATCCAAAAAAGTATAGATTTGAAGAAGAAATAACTCAGTGATTTAGCGGAAGAAAGAAGCAGAAATCTCGTTCATACCTGAGGTTAAGTCCTTTGGGTGATCGGATTTACCATTGTGTTGACCTTTTTTCCGTCGATTTTCTTTGATATCCTTGCTCATCAAACTTTACTGCAATTGCTTCATACTTTATTATGTGATTTCTTCAAGTTTGTATATTTAGGGTTTAAATTGGGACTTGTCTCAATTATAGAACAAAGCTGATTTAAGCATGAGGAAGATGAATAGAGAGAGGTTAGAAACCAGTAAAATAATTTTTGGAATGGAGATTTGTTTTGTTCTTGAGCGTGAGGACAGAAGAGAGATCTTTGTTCTGTTTTTTGATGTTTCTCATAAAAAGAACATACCCAGCGACGCCTATTCCCCCACAATTAGGGTTCTTCTCAAAACAAAACTTGTTTCCCC